TTTTTTTTTTCACTCTTAAATATTCTCTTCTCTTTATTTCTGCTCTGTTCTGTGGTAGTATCCTAGTAAATCACATTTTTCCGTACTCATGTTTATTTATAACTTTTTATCGGCATGTGCGTTGCCATAAATATTTATTAGGTTGCATAAATTCGAGTACTTGCTGAAAATAATTTGCATAAACGACGTGTGAAATAATTGAAGACAGCACCAACACCGATCAACAAAACACCAACAACACTAACAACAACAAAATTATAATACAGCTTCTCTTCCCTGTTCGCTTGTTTGTTTATAAGGTTGTTGTCTATGGTTTTGTATGGAATACTTATGTCGGCACTTTCTCATCCTCACCAGTCGTTGGAGGCAGTTATGTTCGCTTCACAAATTCATTTTTTACGCCATAAAATTATTTAAGTTTTTGGTTAGCAATTTGCGTTAAGCCACAGTGGAAGCAGAGGAAACCTGGACTGCCACACAAAGAACCTGTCCCACCTCCGTTACCAATCCCCTCTACTGCAGTGCAGACAGAAGAGTTTAGTATGCGGTAACTAACACCACTAACACCCCGCGCCGCCTAATGGAATTTACGTTAATTTAAATTTGGCAGCACTTCACGTTCTCATCGTTTTTTTATCAGTGTACTTATGAGTATTTCTAATTTATTTGTTTATTTTATATTACTTTTTTTTTAAATGAATTTTTTCGCACTTTTCCTTCAAATACTCATGAAAATTTTCAAATTTAAATAATTTAATTAAAAAAAAATTAAGTATAAAATCAACGCATTCGAGAAGAAATTTTTAATGAGTTGCCGAAAAGTTGTGATTTGATACAGATATCTTGAGTGTGCTTTTAGGCGTTTCCAAAAATTTTTTAATTAATTGCGTCCAAAGAAGTTTATGTAAAACTTCAGACTCTTCTTCATATTAAAATTAAGTTTATTAAATATTAGTAAAAAAAATTATAAAAACTTTTATCAAATGGAAAAAAAACATATTTTAAAAATTGAAATTTTAAAATCCCAAAAAAAATTCTTGTTGGTAATTATAATAGTTTACCTAGATGTTTGGTAAATTGTATTAGTGATATATAACATATATTGACATTTTATAACAAATTACATCTAGATGCTTCCATAAATATATTTCTACGGATACACGTTTATGTACCCTTAGGTGTATCCGTTAAGAAAAGTACCTACTTCTACTTTTTTCCGCTTACCAATAATAACTGGAAAACATTTAGGTTGTATATAACGTCCAGGTTAACCTACCATTCATATAATAACACCAGATGTTAGGCACTCAGTAAAAGGGACTTCAGAAATGTAGAGATAATTCTTTTAATACTAACTGTGGAAGTTATAGAAACTGAAGGGTAAGGGGTTTGCGCAAGCTATAGGTGTGTTTCGCACGCTGTGTGTTAGTGCAACCATGCAAAAATATGCTCTTGAGTGACGAATGCAAGTTTTTGGTAATAGACTATTATTCAAAACATGTTTGTGAGAACCTGAATGAAGAATGTGGTAGTAAAATGGCTAAGCATCGGTAATTGAGGTTAGTGGAAAGTTACCCGCTGACCCCTATCACTGCGATGAACCGAGAAAATCCAACTAACAACTAACATAGTAAATAAAGTAAGAGCAGGTATAAAGGTACTGTGTGTAGTGAGGCAAATCAAATTTTCTATTGAAGGTGTAGCAATGCTAATAGCATTTATATGTTAAATGCTTAAATATAAAATACTTCAACTATACTAATCATAAATAAATGTAAATAGCTTAAAATGCCTACAGCAAAGTATTTTAAAAATTTAAATGTTCTATACATAAATCTTATTTAACAAAAAAAAAATCTATAACAAAATGAAACAAAAATCTGCTAATGTGTCGCATTTTTACTACGATAAACTTAAATTTAGTGCACCTTTTGTCTAATTTACATATCAAATTAAAGGTCTACTGGGGTTAAAGGTGTTTGAATGAAATCACTAAAGAGAACATTAGGCCCATTTGTTTTTAATGTTCACTTAATACTGAGAAATGACCTGAATTTTATATTTCTATTTGAAAATGTACTTTAAAATGCCTATTTTTGACCTTAATTTGTACTGTTTTTTTTTCTTGTGAAATGTAAATTAATATTTCAACATTTAAGAAATATACATGCAGTCTATACTTGACTCAATGCCCAAGTCTATTTGCTTCTTAGTAAAGCTAATCAAATTGTAAATGAAAGCTATGTGAAGTTTCAAACTAAAAACCAAATCCTTTAGAACCAAACCCTTGTAAAAGGTCAATTTCCATAAATATCCACAAAACTCGAAACTGGAAACTACAATCGAAACTCTGCCTCAGTTACTGCCACTGCAACATATTTAAATCGTACTTTCCGACAACTTTGGCACTCGCACAGATATTTATGCAAATTGTTGACATTTTCTTGGCACCACTCTACAGACACTCAAATAAACGGCATTAATGTTGTATGACACTTTGTGCACCCAAAGACGGACGTAATCGGCACCCAAAGAAAGGCAGTTATTGAAACGGTGACGTCAGCAAATATTAATAACATCGTATTAAATAGAATGCATGAATAAATTTGCCAATTTAAAATAGTATTCAACTTAAATTAAGACAACATTATAACATTATTTTTAAGTTTCTTGCCAACAAAGAAATTGTTAAAGGTGCCAGCGCTGTTACTTAAAACGCCGTAAAGTATGCAATACATTGTGTAGAAGACATTTACTTAACATTAATAAAGCATGTCTGTGCCACTGCTTAGACTTGTTTATTCAACTTGTTTATCGCAAACGGTAAAAGGCTCAAGGATATAAGTTTTTGTTAGCCATTGTCTAAGTATGTTTACAAGAAAAACTATTGCATTGCACGGGCAATATGTGTTGTATACTTTTAGTGCTGTGCTGCCAGTAGCGGTTCCGTTAATAATAGACTATATTATCTTTCTTCTTACTCTTACTCCTAACATTTGGTGTACTTTTTACCCATTTTTTGTTAGTGATTTTCACTGTTGGCTTCTTACGTAGTTAAAACTTTTTAGCTTTTATCGCCTGTCTTTATTCGTAGATATTCTGATTTTTTCCAAGTAAAAACCAAACAACAGCCAAGCAATTTCATCATTTCGCCAAGTGCCTTGGTGTGGCTATTGCCTTAAATGTGTAGAGGCTTTGAGTTAAACCCTGTTAACTTTTTATTTTACTTATTTGCATAACAATGTAGTGCATGGCTTTTACTTCGTCATTCTCTTCAGTAGTGCTTTTCGTCTTTATCGTCATTCTTGTCTTCAATTTTTTTTTCGCTTCTTATTTGAACAGTTTTTTATGCGAATTTTTCTAGATTTACGAGTTTCATGACTTGGCTTAGCTGTCACGTCTTTCACTTTGTTTTGTGTACTCGTAAAGTCTCCTTTGGCGAACTACTTCTACATTCGTTCCGAACTGTCTTAGTTCGTTTGTTTGTTCCCACTTTGGCCATAAATGATGATGATGTGCTGACGTTGTTAAGCCACAGTTTTGATGACAGTTTTCCGAAGAAATTTTACAAATTTTTTCCAGCAAAAGTTCTAGTTTTCCGTTTTTTGTCGAGTCGACGTATTTGTGTCAATGAAAATTCTAGTTCTAATGACAAAAAATTGAATTTACTGAATAATATGGCAATTTTTTTTCGTCTACTTTAATGTATTGAATTACTGAGTATCGCATACATTTAAATGAATTCATAATCAGCTTTGGAATTTTAATTTAAAATATTTCAACAACACTCGAATTACTGATTACTA